ATCTGCATAGCACTTTGATTATCACAATATAAATCAGTAGAAGAAGGTTGAGGAATGCCCATATCTTTAAGAAGCCACCGCAATGAAAGAAGTTCTGATGTGGTATCCCCGAGAGCTCTATACTCAGCTTCAGTACTAGAGTGAGATGGAATAGCTTGTTTCTTACTCCGCCAAGAGATAAGAGAATTTCCAAGGAAAAGACAGTAACCAGTGGTAGATCTACGATAAGAAGGATCACTAGCCCAATCAGCATCAAAGTTAGCACGAAGCACAGAGGAAGAGTTGGTAGAAAAATGGAGTCCATGAAATAATGTTCCCTTAACATAGCGAATAATGCGAAGTACTGCTGCATAATGAGTGAAGCGAGGAGCAGCCATAAACTGACTAACAAGGTGAACTGCATATGCTATATCAGGGCGTGTCGTAGTAAGATAAACCAGACTACCAACCAATTGCCGATAGCGAGTAGGATCAGAAAGTGGAGAGCCATCCATAGGTGTAAGCTTGACATTAGGTTCAAGAGGTGTAGAAACACTCTTACCATCATTGAGTTCAGCTTTAGAAACAAGATCAGAGGCATACTTTACTTGAGAAAGCAGGTAACCATCATCTGAAGAGGTCACTTCAAGCCCCAAAAAATAGCTTAGAACACCAAGATCTTTCATCTCAAATTTCTGACTGAGAGATTGTTTTAACTCCTCAACACCTGGGACATCATCTCCAGTAATAATTATGTCATCAACATCAAGAAGTAAAAGAACCATACCTCGAGCAGTCTTATGAATGAACAAAGCTGTATCATGTGGATTGAAAGTGTCACGCCCCAAAACCCGAATTCGAGGCGCGACAGACGCCATGCACTCGTGAGACGGGTCCCACAAGTGCACAAGGCTCGGAACTTATTCAAATCACAAATCTCAAGAATAAAATCTAACTTACAAAAGGATGATAAAATCTAAAACTTATATTCAATTGGAATGGCTAGCCTTCTACCTCGTCACTCCCCTCGGTTTCCTCGTCCTCGGTTTCCTCGTCCTCGGTTTCGCTTCCTGAAATGGTGGACAAGGAAAACTATGAGATAAAATATCTCAGTAAGTAAATATGGATAGCCTTTGGGTAAAACTTTTAGCATGCCAGATAAACAGTTTAATATAACAAAACGCTCAATGACAAAATCAGATTTAGTTCAATTGCAAAGCATTCAATGACAAACCGTCAATACAAAATCGGATTCAGTTCAATAACAAAACGTTTCATGACCAACCGCTCATGCAGAAGAAAACTCAGTTCAGTAGTCTCATCTATAAGTCATGGCCAGCGTTTATAAACCTCCCACTGGCGGGCACAGTAGTTACCAATGTTTAACCCCATTGGCAAGGTTACAGAAGTACCAGTGTTTACAACTCCCACTGGCAGGCAACAGTAATGGTACCAGTGTTTACAACTCCCACTGGCAGGCGACAGTAATTACCAATGTATTCACCCATTGGTAGGCGTTAGTAGTACCAGTGTTTACAGCTCCCACTGGCAGGCGACAGTAATTACCAATGTTTTATCCCATTGGCAGGATGAACCGGTTCTATCAGTAAACATGTCGACATGTGCTAGCGTTTATAAACCTCTCACTAGCGGGCACAGTAATCAGTAATCATGACTATATCCGAGACAAAACCATGTAGAATTTACAGAAAATCCGTAATTCACACTCAATCTCAAATTCCAGAAATAAACCAGAAAATTTCCATGTGAGCATGGATTTAACAGAAAAACTCAGAATTTACAAAACTCTCAGTTCATCAAAACAGTTCAGTCAATTTCCAAATAGGCATGCTCAACTCCAAAAAAACAATGAAATGCTCATTCTCATTTTAATCATACTCAATTCCAGAAAATCAATAAAATCCTCATTTTCATTCCAATCATGCTCAATTCCAGAAAAACAATGATTTTCATAAAAATCATCACAATTTCCATTTCAGTTTAATCACACTCAGATGCTGATAAAATCAATTTAAGGCTTGTCACCATTTCAAAAACAATTTAAAACATGCTTTAAAATCAAAGGGCTTTACCATAATTTACTTACCTCACTCGCACAGAACAGAAGGCTAACCCAAGTGCTACGGTGACAGAACGATTAAAACCTAATCACAATATTCCACAATTAATAACCATACCACCACAAATTCAAAGTAAAATTATCGTGAGCACTACCCCTAATCATAGTGCTATTCTATCAATCTCCACATAACCGGATATCTCCAAATTCATTCTTATATCACAAACTAAACCTTTAAATCTCCGCTAATCATTGACCCTCGGTGTGTGAACAGTGCCTATGAACAGTACCCAGTGAACAGTAACATGTGAACAGTACCTCAACTCCCAAAATTGACAAAACATAGCTAATTCATGGGGTTTCACACAATTAACCTCACAACAATCAAATTAAGCTAATTCTACATAAACCAAGCACAAAAACACATTTAATTTATTGCCACATGCTACCGGAATTCATCCCCATTTCCGGCACAATTCGGACACACAAAAGGCAGCAATTAAATGGCTAATTTAGGGCTTAAAGGAGTGGCCATCATACCAGAATTTTCTAGCAAGAACCGGAGCTAGCAGGGGAAGAAGAAGCCGACGGCAGAGAAGAAGAAATCCTGCAGGGGACTCGCGGCTACCCAATCCAAAAACCAAAACACAATTCAAGGTAAACCCAAACCAAATTCAAAGCTAAAGAGATGAATTCTTGGCTGAATCTTACCAGAAAAAGCCCAAAAACCTCACACCCACATAGCAGCCGGCGGACAAGGGAGAAATAGCAGACCAGATTCGGGATTTCCAGCAGAGGGAGGGGGGATTTCTGGGTTCAAGAACAAGAAGAGAAGGAGAAAATCCCAAGCTTGGTCACCGATTTTTCTCAAAAATGAGTCGGTGGCTAGAAGGGCTTGGGGGGCTGTCGGGAGGAAAAGTCGGGAAGAAGAAGAAGATGAGGACGAGCAAAACACGTGGCTGAGGAGAGAAATCTCAGCCTTGATCCTTATCCTAACTTTCTTTCTTTTCAGTCCCTCAACTTTTAAAAATTTTACGATTAAGCCCCAAAACAAAATTGTTTCCCAAATAAGTCCCCAATCAAATGCTAAAATACCCCAAAATTTTGGGATATTACAGAAAGTAAAACCAAACTCACTCACAGTAGCACTAAACTTTGCATACTAGGCTCGAGGGGATTGCTTCAACCCGTATAATGCACGGTGCAATCGGCATACCTTGTTTGGAGGATGGTTGAGCCCAAGAGGTGGTGTCACGCCCCAGAACCCAAATCCAAGACGCGACAGACGCCGTGCACTCGTGAGACGGGTCCCGCAAGTGCACAAGGCTCGAAACAAATTCAAATCACAACCTGATACCACAAAATCTCAAGATAAAATTTTACAATCTGCTATGTTATCAAAAATCTCCACATACACTCTAGCTTGCAAGAGCATGATTTATTTCTAAATCTATACCAATCTCGAAATGGCTAGCCTTCTAACTCGTCACTCCCCTCGGTTTCCCCGTCCTCAATTTCGCTTCCTGAAATGGTGGACAAGGGAAAACTATGAGATAACTCAGTAAGTAAATATGGATAGCCCTTGGGTAAAACTTTTAACATGCCAGATAAATCATGTAAACATAGCAAAACTTTCACTGATAAACCGTTAATGCGGAAATCAAGTTCAGTTCAATAGCAAAACGTTCAATGACAAAACCGTTACTGCAGAATCAGATTCAATTCAATAACAAAACATCTCATAACAAACCGTTAATGCAGAAGAAACTCAGTTCAGTAGTCTCATCTATAAGTCATGGCCAGTATTATAACAACCCACTGGCAAGCGACAGGAATTTGCCAATGTATTCGCCCAGTGGTAGGCGTCATATCAGTAAACATGTCGACATGTGCTAGCGTTACACCCACTAGCGGGGATCAGAAGTGCTAGCGTTACACTCACTAGCGGGGATCGGAAGTGCTACACACCCACTAGCGAGGATCGGAAGTGCTAGCGTTACACTCACTAGCGGGGATCGGAAGTGCTACACACCCACTAGCGAGGATCGAAAGTGCTAGCGTTACACTCACTAGCGGGGATCGGAAGTGCTACACACCCACTAGCGAGGATCGGAAATCATGACCATATCAGAGACAAAACCATGCAGGATTCACAATCAAAATCCGTAATTCACAATCGAAATCCGAAATTCACAATCGAAATCCGTAATTCACAATCGAAATCCCAAATTTCAGAAATAACCAGAAAATTCCATGTGAACATGGTTTTAACAGAAACCGCAAAATTTGCAAACTCTCGGTTCATCAAAACAGTTCAGCCAATTCCAAATAGGCATGCTCTATTCCAGAAAACAATGAAATTCTCATTTCAGTTTAATCACACTCAGATGCGGATAAAATCAATTAAAATCAATTTAAACCTTGCCACCATCTCAAAAACAGTTTAAATCATGCTTTAAAATCGAAGGGCTTTACCATAATTTACTTACCTCACTCGCACAGAATAGAAGGCTAACCCAAGTGCTACGGTGACAGAATGATCAAAACCTAATCAAAACACCTCAGAATTAATACCAGACTATCACAAATTCAACTGAAATCATCATTAAAATCACTCTTAATCCCAATGCTATTCCTATCAATCTCCACATAACCGGACATCTCCAAATTCATTCTTATATCACAAACTAATCATTTAAATCCCCGTTAATTATTGACCCTCGGTGTGTGAACAGTGACCGGTGAACAGTGCTCACGACGTGAACGGTACTGCCACTTCCAAACATTAGCCAAAACACTAGCTAATCACGGGGTTTTCTTCCTATAAACAACACAGCAACTAAATCAAGAAATTTCTACCTCAGCCAAGCTTAAAACGTGTTTTATGCTACCCAAAATCATCCCATAATTCTAGCACAATCTCGGACAACACAGAGCATCAACTAATGGACAAAACCCAGCAATTAAATGGGTAATTTTAAGCTTGGGAAAGCCGGCAACTTACCAGAATTCCAGCCAGCAGAACCCGAGCTTGGCTGGTGAGGAAGCCGACGGGATCCAAGGGGAAAACTCACGACACACTCCAGAAATTCAAGAACCAATAACAAAATTAGAGTAACCCAAGCCAAATTAAGAGAAGAGGATGAATTTCATGGCTGTTTCTTACCAGAAAAAGCCGAAGGATTCAAACCCAGCAGAACCCGACGGACAAGGGAGAAGAACAGAGCAGATCCGGGATTTCTGGGTTGAGAGGGAAGATTCTAAGCCCCAAATCTCGTTACTTATCAAGAAAGGAAGGAGAAATCCCAAGTTTGGTCACCAATTTTCTCAAAGAAATGAGTTGGTGGCTAGAGGGCTTGGAGGGGGCTTCTCGGGGGAGAAGAATCGGGAAGAAGGAGAAGATAAGGAAGAGCAAAACACGTGGCTGAGGAAAGAAATATCAGCCTTGATCCTTATCCTAACTTCCTTTCTTTTTAGTCCCTCCACTTTTAAAATTTGACTATTAAGCCCCTCAATAATATTTCTCATCAAATAAGTCCCTCAATTTAATGCTGAAATACCCCAAAATTTTGGGATATTACAGGTGGTTTCATATAAACTTCTTCTTCTAGGTCACCATTAAGAAAAGCATTTTTCACATCCATCTGAAACAATTTCCATCTTCGCATAGCGGCGATAGCAAGCAAACTGCACACAGATGTAAGACGAGCAACTGGAGCATATGTCTCCTCATAGTCAATTCCATACTCCTGTGTAAGACCCTTGGCAACCAAGCGTGCCTTATAACGCTCCATAGAACCATTAGATCTTGTTTTGATCTTGTACACCCATTTACACCCTATTAGAGATTTTTCAGCAAGAAGATCAACTAAATCCCATGTACAAGTGTTCTCAAGAGCTTGTAATTCATCTTGCATAGCTTGTTGCCAAAGAGGGTTAGAAGAGGCCTCTTGATAGGATTGAGGCTCATATAACAAAGTAATAGCAGGAAAACAATTATTATCACGAAGGTAGTTGGGAGGGTTTCTTACCCGAGTAGGATGACTCGAGGATGGGACAACAAGCTCATTTGTAGAATCAACAGGTGATACAAATGAGGAAGTAGAAGAAGGCTCAAAATTATCTAATACATTACCAGCAGGCAGGTCATCTTCTACAGAACTAGTTGGAGCATGTGGCGAGGCATTGTAGAGCTCATCAGATGTACCTGCATTAGAATCACTAGGAAATAGCTCAATAGAAGGATTAGTAAAACATGGAGGTTGATGAGAGGATGACACTTTGAAGTTTGACAATGATGAGAACATAGTGTGTTCCGAAAAGACAACACAACGTGAAACTTGGAGTTTTTGTGACACAGGATCCCAACAACGATATCCTTTTTGTGTAATCTCAAAACCCAAAAAACAGCATAATCGAGCTGTAGGTTCTAACTTGTTATGTTCATGAGGTGGAAGAAGAACAAAACATGCACAACCAAAAACCTTAAGAAGATTATAAGCAGGAAGAATACCATGTAGATGCTCATATGGAGACTGGTTATTAAGGACTGATGATGGAATGCGATTAATAAGATAAGCAATTGTAAGAGCAGCCTCACACCAAAATCGCTCTGGACAAGAAGATGAAATGAGGAGAGCACGAACAGAATCAAGGATGTGTCTGTGTTTGTGTTCGGCTTGCCCATTTTGTTCAGAAGTATAAGGACAAGATTGTTGTGGCAGTGTACACTGTTGTTTCAAAAAGGATTGAAGTTTAGTACCAAGATATTTAGTAGCATTATCAGTTCTCAAAACTTTGATAATTTTAGAGAACTGGGTTTTGACCATGGTAGCAAAATTAATATAATTTGTGATAATTTAGAGTAACTTTTTATAAGGTATATTCAGGTAAAACGAGTATGATCATCAATAAATAACATGAAGTACCTGGAACCTCCCATGGTGGGTGTAGGAGATGGACCCCAAACATCAGAATGCACAAGATCAAAAGGAGCAGTAGAATGAGAATGACCACTCGAAAAAGATAAAGCTGGCTTGTAATACCCCAAAATTTCTAGAGCATTAAAGTGAGTTAGGGACCTAATTGTGAAGAAATATTATTAATAAATTTAATAGCAAATATTTTCAAAGTTCAAGGACTAAAAAGAAAACAAATTAGGATAAGGATTAAGCTTAGATATTTTTCTTTTCTTCCTCATTTTCACGCGGGTCTGCTCTGTCTTCTTCCCGATCCTTCCTCCCGAAAAGCCTCCAAGCCACCGACTTTCCCCCCTTGAAAAACCCGGTGAAGGCCTCTTGAAATTTCCCTCCTTTCTTGCTCAAAAACCAAGTTTCAGGCCTAGAACACTCTCTCCTAAACCCAGAAATTTTCCAGATCTGCGCTGTCCTCTTCCCCTCTGTCCATCGGCCTTTGCTGTGTCGGGTTGGGTTCGGTTTTCTGGTAAGATTCAGCCATGAATCCCTCTTTTTAACCTTGATTTAGGTTGGGTTTACTTTAATTGCTTTATTCCCTTCCAGTTTCTGGTAGAGTCGTGAGCTTCTTCCCCCAAAATCCCGTCAGCTCCCATGCTCGCCTGGTGCGAGTTCTGTTGGCCGGAAAAAAAAAAAAAGAGAGGAATTCCGGTATGTGCTAGCTTCTCCAAGGCTGAATTTTACCCAATTAGTAGTTGGAATTTATACATGTAGCTGCTGCCTTCCTGTCTGAATTTTCTGTCAAAATAGGGGAAGAATTGGCAGTAAATTAAATGTGTTTTAGGCTTGATTATGTAGAATTTAGCTTGAATTAGCTGCTGTGATGTTTTATGTGAGAAATCCCGTGTGTGTGTGAGTTGTGATTTGCCAAGTTATGCTCTCCCTATGATGCCGTGAGAAATGGGGAATTTTGGTAGCTTAAGCTATGATTTTAAGCTTAGTTTAAGTGTAAATTAGTTTGAATTGGGTTGTTGTGATTTTGGAGAAAAATCCCGTGAGATTGGATATTGTTTTGTCAATTTTGGAAGTTGAAGTTACTGTTCACTTGTATTGTTTTTGTGTACTGTTCATAGGTCCTGTTCACACACCGAGGGCTAATAATTAACGGGGATTTGAATGTTTAGTTTGTGATATAAGAATAAATTTGGGGATGTCCGGTTATGTGGAGATTGATAGAAATAGCACTTTGAAATTATGGTAGTGAGGTATTAACTGTGGAATATTGTGATTAGGTTCCTGATCGTTCTGTCAATTTAGCACTGAGATCGAGCCTTTGGTTTTAAGCAAGTGAGGTAAGTAAATTTATGGTAATACCCGTACTGTTTTTAAAAGCATGTTTTGGTTTGTTTTTGAAATGGTGGCGAGACTAAACCCATTTTATGCAAAATAAGTATGATTGTTTTGAACTGAAAGTTTTTATGATTTTTATGGATTAGAGCATGCCTACTTGAAGTTCATTTGATTGTCTTGATGATTTGAAAGTTATTTGTAAAGACAGATTTTTTGTTAACTTCTGCCTATTTTGTCTCCGATGTGGTTATGTTATTGATGATCCTGCTAGTGGGGGTTAAACGCTAGCACATGTCGACATGTTATTGATAAAACCGGTTCGTCCGAATGACCCTGCTAGTGGGGGTTAAACACCAGCAAATACTGTAGCCTGCCAGTGGGAGGTTTAAACACTGGCCATGACCTACAGAGGAGAGGTCTATTTCTTTCCCGTACTGTATCCGTTTTTATTATATTGTTGGCAGGCTATAAGTTTAATTGACTGCTACTGAACTTTATTCTGCATAATGGTTTATCATTGAACATTTCGTTTATGTTTAAAATGTTTATCTGAAATGCTCAAATTTTACTCACTGGTTATCCATACATTTACTTATTGAGATAGTTTATCTCATAGTTTTCCTTGTCTACCATTTCAGGAAGCGAAACCGAGGACGGGGAAACCACGGGAAGTGACAAGTTAGAAGGCTAGCCATTTCGAGATTGATATAGATTTTAGAAATAAATCATGTTTTTTGTGAGATAGATTTTACCTTGAGATTTTAAGTTTAAGTCATGTTGGACATAGAATTATTGAAATATCTGATTTTAAGTTATTGAATTGTCAGATGTGAATTGGATAAGTTTCGAGCCTTGTGCATTTGTGGGATCCTCTCACGAGTGCACGGCGTCCGTCGCGCCTCGAATTCAGGTTTTGGGGCGTGACATGGCTGCTTTGCAGATTGACATGACAGACAATGCACAAATTCATTCGGAACTGATCCTAATAAACCACGAGAGATAAGTGGACGAAGTTTACCGACTGAGGTATATCTGAGTCGTGAATGCCACAAATGGAGAGGAGAAATGTTAGTAGCAGCACAGATTTGGAAGATTTGTTGATATGGAATTTGCAAAGACTCTAATTCAATAGCACAAAGCAGGGTTTGGATGAATCGATCATTTGGAAATGATGGTGTATCCATTTTATTATCAAGAATATGCAGATAGTTAAGCTCAAACAAACGCCCCACCTTGTGACCAGTTCCAAGAAGTTGTCCTGTCCGTGGGTCCTGCACACGACAACCATGAGTAGAAAATGTTACTTCAAGACCAAGATCACATAATTGACTGACAGATAGAAGATTATAACTAAGTTTTGGAACTAAAAGGGCATTTGGTAAAGTCAATGACTTTGTAGAAACATTGCCAATGTGACTAACATTCCCAATGTGACTAACATTCATAGGGGAACCATCAGCCGAATAAATATCAGGAAAGGAATTATTAGGCGACATTGAAGAGAAATGAGTAGTAATTGAAGACATATGGTTACAACAACCAGAATTGTTTGCTGATGAAATGAATCCCAATCAATCTATACTCGCTTAGCATTTTTTTTTTCTAAAAAAAGATAATTTTCTTATTTCCTGCATAAAACTTTTTCATCGAATAAAATTATATAGATAGACAACTAG